CTTCTTTTTTGAAAAGTTGAATCGATTATAAACGTTGTTAATCTGGTGCAACGTAGAGCTAACTGTAGCTATAACGTACTCGCTTTTAGTGATAATTGCTGTCGTTATCAGTTTCCAATCCCGTTTTCCTTATTCTTTCTTCTAATAACTGCTTCAACTAACCAGTATCAATTTATATAACTGATACAGCACCATTAAATTTAAAATGTACAGAAAAACAGAATTTGACCTGAATAATATTTATGAAACTACATTTCTACCGGTTTCTTGCCTGTTTTTGCAGTGGAAGAGAATGCTTCTGATAACATCGATGACTAATAGAATAGAAAACTTTATATATAACATAATCTTCTGTGTGTTGATTTATTGCTTGTCTTCAACTACAACAAAGTTTATTAATCAAATAAACCCAGTTTAATAATTTTAAGCTAAAAAATAATGCGTGCTGCTAATAAGTGCATTCATGCAGATGCATAATTACAAATAGTATACTACTTTGATTTACGTCAGAAAAATTTTAGTAGCAGTTTCTGTAAGACGTATGTGTATTTATAAGAAAAAAAAGAATACACGTTATTTTTAGGCAAAAACATTTGCTTAAACGCAAAAAATAGAATAAAGAACAAGAATCTTACTGATAATTGGCTTTTTATAATAAAAGTTTTTCGCTTTCTAGCAGCTAATTCGTTACAAAAATTTTTTTTACTTTTTTTTTGTTTTCCTTCCTCAAAATATAATTTTCTCCAATTTTTTAAATCCTTTTTTTACCTATTCCATATTACTGTTTACTATTCAATATACTAACATACATTTCAACTAAAAACCCATTTTTTTTTAGAAAATTACTCGAAACAAGGTGACCAGAATGAAGCTTTATTTTAGTGAAATGTTGTTCAAGCAAAATTCAATTCAATTTTCAACCTTTTATTAGAGTTTTTTAATCAGCTGCTAAAACTCTAAAAAAGTAACTGATTACAGCAAAAGCTTTATATGATATACTTTATTTATTTGACAGTTTAGCTATTTTAGGTCTTAAAATTTTACTAATTTATCTCATAAACAATACAAAAATTAAAGAAAAAAAAACAACAGCACTTCTCTTTCCTTCTGTTTTTGAAATTTAATGAAAACTTTATTTGTTCATTCTACTAAACAAAAGTAAGAAAAATAGAAGAAATTATAGCAATAACAAAAAATAAGAAAGAAGAAAGTAATTTACTTGAGCAAAAATTAAAAAGGAATTCGGAATGAAATTGATCGAAGACAACAAAAGAAAAGAAGCAGAATTCCTCTTTGAACTGCGTTTTTGAGACTTGAAATTCAGATATAAAAGTGGTATAACAACGACGTACCAAGTAGGACAATTTACCTCTAAAAATTCTTTTTTTCCTTCTCATCTCATTTAGCTTAAATTCTTTGAATGCCGTTTAGTAAAACTGTAAGTTCTGTGCTTAATGCCATGTACTTTTCAGGTGGCACATCATTTAAATTCTTGATACTTCCTGGTATCATATACCGAAATCGTCTAAGAGCCTTTGAGCAGAGAAGAGCAGCTCCGACCTGCTGAACCCCGATTATAGCTTTCTACTGACTTTTCGGTATTCAGACAAGCAAACTGTAGATGATAACCATCTATTAACAGCTCCAACGGCCGACTCACCATAACCATGCTGAAACTCCCAATTTACGAGAATAATCAAAACGAAAAAGAAACAAATCCTGTTTTGCAGCTCAAGAACTTGAACTTTATCACCAGGATAATTGGCTTCGTCCACACTTTACTATCCCTAAGCTATCCGAGAAACCAGCACCCCCAAACTCATTTGTAGCTGATTCTAAATAAAGTCCGACCAAGTTGCTCCCGTCCCGTCATTTTCTGGCGACTTGCAACAGCCTCACTACTCAACCAGCAGTCTGACACGAGCGGGTTCTCCAGCAGCAGAATATGGCAAAAGCGACGACTCAACTAGAGTGCTAACTACAACCATAACATTTATGCATGTAGACAATGATTAAAAAAACTTTTACTCGACTGCTATGTGGTTGGCTCACAAAATAGAAATTTAAGTGCGTCCAAAACAATTTGAGCAGTAAAGAGTGAAAATGATTGCTGCCAGAAGTAACCGTTTGTAACAACAACCCAGGATGATAACAAACGTACAAGTGACACAATAGAAATTCCATACAGAGAACCTCGTCAGACAAATGACTAGTGTCCTTCGATGACCAATCAGTGAAAGTACAACAAAAAAAAAAGAAAAAAAAAACGAAAAAAAAAGATATGTATGGAAAATATATCAATAACTTTAAATGGAGTCCGGCCAACCCTGCGATCCAGCGGCATGGTGTGTGTCAGCGTATGGGCAATTGTCTCCCAGAATGCAGTAGCCGCACCACAAGTAGATATCGCAATATTTACGACTCTCAGCTTGTTTCGGAGCCTTGTACTACAAAAATAGTTAATCATTAGTAAAGAAAAAATAAAAAAAATAAAAATTACTACTGCTAAAGCTTGCCAGGGGGAAACTTTTTTTACGACCAACTGCAACATACCCGCTTCCCCAAGTTTTCAGCATGACCTTTAGAAACAGTCTTGTGTGTGTGCTGCATTGGCAAGCATAAGCGTCCCGGCAACGCGTAGCACGAAGTGGATGATTTTGATTTTTTGCGGCGATGTTTTTTATGGCCCGAGCGTCCCGCCGAACAATTAACAGCTTTGCCTTTAGGTGGTGCATCAATATGCAGCTGACCAATACCGTGCTGAAACTCAAAGTAATAAATCAAAAAAAAATGCATTGAACACGAAAATAAGCTTTTAAATCTCAACAGAATAAGGCTGCCAATTAAACCGATATTGACTGTTAAGTCCACTGGATAATTCAACCTGATTTGCAATTTTTATTAAACTCTAAACTCAGCCTTAAAACGTGAAGTCAAACATTACCCAATTCGATAGTAACACTTGCTAAAGGTTTCAGCTACAATAGTTGTTTGCAGTACTTACTTCAATATGAGTTATATTTTCCTCAACTTCAGAGTTCAAATTATTCTGACTTTTCCTAGCCGTTGCTCTCGCTAACTTATTTTTTGCGGAACCTTTCTTATGCGTCTTAGCGACGCTGGAAACCTAAAAAAATAATACATGTCTTTGTAAATAATAAAAATAATGATAAAATAAAAAAACAAAAAAAAAAATAGTATCTTTGTAAAATATAGTCCCAATTTTTAGCGTCTCCAGTTCTCTGAGACCAAGAAAGCGAGTGATAAAAATGTTAAAATTCAAAGCTATGTTTTCACAGTGTATAGGTACAGGAAACAAATTTAGAAAAGCAAAGTTTAATTAACTTTATACAGTTTATTTCCGGAAGCTAAGAAAAAACATACCTTTTGAATACCTCCTTTTAACAGACTGCTCCCGGAGGAACTGTCCTTCCCTTTCACCTTTTTATGTCCTAAATAAAATAAAATTTTTAATAACCTTCAAAGTAGACAGAAAGTTAACAGCTAAAACGTTGACACTCTATACCTGTAGAACGTTTGCGCCTGCGCGACGGTTTCGAAGTACCCTTTTTACCGTTTACCAGATTTGCTGGACAATTGTACTTTCGCTTGAAATGAGTGGAGCTTTTCCTGTAAGTTTCACAGCATAGCATCTGAGAATCGGAAATAACCTTTTCTTCTTATACACAAATTTCCAGTGAAAAATCATATTGAAATCTAACAGTAAGAGTGTTTCTCGACAGTTATTCATAAGATTGTCACTCAGAGAGAAGAGAATCCTAATTAAATGGGAAAAAACTGAAGCTTACTTATGCGGTTGCGGAACTTCACAGTTCAACAGAAAATGAACATCCAGGCGTTGTGCCCCTGCTTGGCATGACTCTGACGTACCATTTAAACATAAAGGAGACTAAAAAATAAGAGCAGAAATAAAAAAATAAAAGAAGATCAAAAAGAACAATCAAAATTTTAGAAATATTTTTGCAACAGGAACTGTTCATTTTATTTTTTATGTAAATATTAAAAAGAAAGTAATAATGATAGTGAAAATAAACGACCAATTAACTGCGCAGAAAACGTTTAGCTACAAAAAGCAGCTCAATGAAATTTAAATTTCACGTGGAGTGAACAAACCTTCTTCAAAAATGCATCAATAAATAAAAAATGTAGTAAGCAAAAAGCATAAAAATCTTTTTTTTTTTTGTTTTTCTATTAAATAGCTTCTAAATTTAAAATTTGTCTATCTTCTTTTACCTACCTCATGCCATAACGTGTCAGGAACCTCCGTCGTTGAGGCCGTCACGTTGAAAGCATCAAATGGAAAGTTATCCGATGTGAAGCTTGAACTAAGAGGGTATGGTGTTGAATCTAATAGCCTAAAAACAGCTTATTTAATCTTAAAGACGTCACAGAAGTTTCAAAAAGGTGAAGTGAAAAAGAACATCTAAAAAACAACAAGAATGCCAAAAAAAACCCCAATGAAAAATGTAACGACGCTTACTCGTTATTTAATTCCATTTACTTCAGTATCAATTCCGATTGCGGAGACACAGTTCAATTGTGGAAGTTACAACTAAACATTTAGTCAACTTTACACAATAATTTTTTGAAAAATAAAACGTAATGACACACGCTACTCATAATTTGCTAAGACTTCTTTTTATGGATAAAGGACAGTTTCAGGTTACACTAGAAATCGACGGCAAGACACGAACACTTTCATGTTGCAAAACGAAGAAAGAAAGAAAAAAAAAGAAAGAGAAAAACAAGAAGGAAAATAGAGCGTAGAATTGTTAACACTGGTATAACGTTTGATCCTTCAAGCTCCGGTTCCAAAAGGTTTACCAACGAGACATGCGTGAAAACAGTTCTTGGAAAAAACTACTGAATGTTGTTGACCGTTAGATTTTGCGGTTTTTATAACGTAATCATTAAGCCAGATGCTGCTGTTTGTGGGAGGTTTAACATGGTGTTAAAACGACAGTATTGCGTCGATGATTCATATGATTGGTGATGATTGTGGTCTACTAATTTTTTTCTCACTGCTAATTGGCCGTCTAATGTGAAGTAAGTCCCTAACCTCAGAGGAAAACTGCAAAAGTACAGTCACTTGTTGAGGTCTGACACTGTCTTATACAAGGTCAAAAAATAAAATCTTTTTGAAAGTTTCTAATAACAACAAAAAAAAAAGAAAATCAGAAAAAGCAGATAACCAAATAAGCAAATAATGACAAAAATGATGATAACTAAATAGATATAAATAAGAAAATATAAGTCTTCTAGCTAAGAGAAGAAATAATGCATATAGTTACCTGTGTAAATCGGTTTTATTACAACTTCTACTAAACCGGAAATACAGTAGAAACAGAAAATTGATGAGGCGACTGTAAGATGCATGTAATTTGTTGCTGTCATAGCAAAAATGCGTTAAAATTTGAAAAATCACAAGAGAAACGTTTATTTAATTTGAATAAAAGATTGGATTTTTTTGAAAATACTTTACTAATTTTATTTTACTGTGAACAGGACAAATATTTTCTCAAGTAATTTTCCTAAGTCAAATCAAACAGTTGTTGTTTAAAAGTCGCAGTAATCCATGCTGAAAGTACGGTTTAATTATTACTGTGGTCGCAAATTTAGACCACATTTTGTTAATCGCAGAGATTATGACTGCTCAAAATATATACAAAAGAATACAAGATAAAGTTGAGCATTAGTAATGAACAGATAAAGCGTTTTTTTCACAGAGGTATTTTTTAAGAGAACCTCAAAAACTATGATTTTGGAAAACTACAAAATTTCAAAACTTTTTTGCCTCATAGTAAAAGAAGTTGGAAATTGTATTCTTTATATTTGATGTCTGAGGAAGATATATCTGTGAAGTTTTGAAGCGACTAACCATTGCAAGTTAAAATTTTTAGTAGGATCCGAAAGCCGCACTTTTATTCATCAGATTTTGCGTTCAAACAGGACGACTGTTCTGAATGAGCTGTTTCTCGTTCTATATGTAAAGATGCTTCAAACATATTCATAAAATGCTTCAAACATATCTCTTCAATTAACATTTACTAATGCAGAATCTTCTCTAATAAAATGAATGCGCCAAGCTTTAACATAGGTTAAATCTTCAACTTTTTTTTAATTGGTGGTTATATATCAGTAACAAAATCGAGAATGCCGTTGAAAGGGTGAAAAAGCTGTTGAAAATGACTGCTGAAGTAGGGGAAGAACAAAAAGAAATGTTAGAAATTTAAAAAATTTGAAAGCAACTGATAAGAATATTTAAAGCATTTAAACCAATTTGTTTACAGTACTAATTTTTACATTTTGCGAAACATAAAAAGTGAGTTTCTTTAGTTGTTACTGTTTTTATTTGAAAATCTTGAAGTTTTTGTTCAGAAAAAGTACGTAATTAACATTAAACTCGTTCAATATTACAGTTTTTTTGAAACAGCTAAGACAGAAAGGTTTCACTGTTAAGGTCTTGAGAATATAAGTTAGAGCAGCATCTTTTAAAACTTCAATTACTGAATTCATTTGTCATCTTGCGTAATGCATAACACACTAGTTTATAATATCCCAGTGCTATTGTACATATATATATATA